CTCGCCCTGCACCAGGCCCCACCCTAGGCGTTCACCTTATCAGCTCTGAATCCTCACAGCCACTCCTGGAGGCCGGGCCATGACCGCTTACGGAGGAGGGACCCACGGCTGGCTGAAATTTAAGTGACCCCCAGCCGGAAAGTGGAGACCCCAGGGCTGCCTGGCTCCAAGCTCACCTCCTTCCCTGCTGCCACCGCCTGAGCTGAATGTGGAGACGACAGATGTCACTGGGACTGTGGGTGTCGTGGGGTGAGGGAGGTTGTTGTCCACAGTGGGTGTCGGGGCATCCGCAGCAGTGACAGGGACCCCCTTGGAGGCTCTTCCCAAACTTCCCTCCCTCCTACTTCCCTCCATGCTGCAGAATCCATCCCCGCCCACGTTATAAACAAGACCTCTGGGTTCTCTAGAAAGCAGGAGAGTCTGCAGGTGGATGCAAGGAAGAACTTGTAGGAAACCTGCAGGGAGAAAAACCTACAGACAGCCCCGGAGGGCCTGGAGTCACGACCTGGGAAAGCGCACGGAGGAAGGGAGGGACTGGGACCCCCAGGGGTGGAGAGGAGGCAGCCCCGCGGCTCCCACAGCGCCCTGGGCCTCCCCAACCCCCCAGCCTGTCTCCCCTTTCCCCAGCACACAGCCCAGGACCCATTGGTCCTTGAGATCTATTTATTGAAAGCACGAGGTGCCCTGGAAGGTAAGGCGGGGCAGGGGCTGTGCAGGTATAGGGAAACTGAGGCACACAGAAGTAGGTCTTGCTCCTCTTCCGCAGAGGAAGAGGCCAGTCCCTGGACTGGGTCGCCTGCCCCCCAGGAAGCCTGATGGTCATACGGTCTCACAGCCAGGGCCAGCCCTTGGGTTAGCTGTCTTCCGTCTGTCCCCTGAATGTACTCTCCACCCCGATGGACACATCTACCTCCTCCTACCCGCTCACCCCTGCACAGATCAGAGAGAGGAAGGAGGAGGAGGATCCATCCCTCTGGCTCCTTTCCTGAAGGGTCACTGCAAATTGGTGGCCTCCCTCCAGTGCAGGCCGCAGCCCTGACCGGGCACTCTCCACACAGCCCTTCAGGCCGAGGGTGGTCATGGCCCACGCTGCGCTGGGGTCCTGGCTGCCCCCTGTGCTTTCCCCTCACCCTGCCTGCACCTGTGTAAACAGACCCTTCATTACACTCTCCTCAAATTATCCTATTGGAGCGTGCCATCTGTTTCCTGCCGGGGCCCTGACTGATGCAGATGTTTTCAGGTGCCGCCTATCCACACGCCAAAGAGACACATGGCTGATAGCCAGGCCCCTGTGCCTGGACCTCGCAGTGCGCAGGTGCACGAATTCTGCTCCTTCCTCCTCCTGGCTGGCCGGGAAGGCCAGGGTTGCAGGAAGGGATGGAGCACGTCTACCCTGGCCGCTGGCCACTGAAGGAATTTTAGGCGGCCCCCAGGGACCCCCCCAGGCGGCTGTCCGTCTCCAGCACCGGCCTAGAGCCAGGGGCTATTGAGGACAGCAGGGCCAGACCCACAGGGACAAGGGAGAAAGTGGGTGCAGAGGAAAGGGGGCGCTGAATTGGGAGTCAGCGTGCCCAGGCTCTGCCCCTGGTGGCCTCTGGCAAGACCTTTCCATATTCTGGGTCTATTTCTCCATCTGTGCAATGGGAGGGCAGCCTGCTTACCTGGAGGATCTCCAAGCCCAGGGCAAGGATCGGAATCGCTCCACCATCCACATGCTCGCCCAGCCTTGTGCCAAGTGTCACCTCACAGCCACCTTAACGGGCCAAGACTCATGTTGCCATTTTACAGTGGAGGAAACTGAGGCTCAGGTGTGCACGATAACACGGCTGGGGAGATGCAGAGGATAATTCAAATCTGGGCCTGTCTTATCGCCCTTGGCTTCCAGAACATTTCGTCCTGGGTTGCCTCCCACCTCTCTGGTCGCCTTATCTGCCTCCTCATGGTTCCTCCTCATCCTCCCACGCTTGGTCCCTGGGCCTCTTCCCTTCTCTGTTTACCCTCCGTCACTCCCAAGTCAGGTTTTCTCAAACCTGAGTGACCGTGATGTCCTTCCTCAGCACAAACACTGGGACTCAGGCTCAAATAATTGAAACAAACGTTTTGTGAACCTGTATATGCCCTACGATGTGCATCCATCCTCTTCGTTTTCTTTCAAATACTGATCACAAGCCAGTGATTGACCTGTTGAATTCGTTACCCACCAATGGGTCTTGGCCATAAAACAGAATGCCCTAGATCCTTGCTGCTCCAAGGAGGACCTCTCTCAGGCCCTGCCCCAGACCTGCTGAATCAGAACCCGCATTTTATCAGATCCCAGGGCATTCTTGTGCACATTAGAATTTGAAAAGCGCTGTTCTGGGTGCCCTCATCCAGACAAACAGCTTTAAATACCGTCTATATACCGATGGCTCCCAGCTTTACATCTCCAGCTGGAACTCTCCCCCGGGTTCCAGGCTCCCGGATGTCTAACAGGCATCTCAGACCTCAACGCGCCCGAAACTGGGCTCTGCTTGTTCTCTCCCGGCTGCGCCTGCCTCAGTCTCGGCATCGCAGACCGTGACAGCGCCCTCTGCTTGTTGCTCCAGCCTTGAGGTCGACCTTGCCTCTTTCTCTTACACCCCTCATCCGACCCGCAAGCAAATTCTGGCAGCTGCTCCCCCAGATTCCCAGTGTTTGTGGGGTTCCCCCCACCCTACAGCCAGCGCCCTGATCCAAGGCACCAGCACCTCCTGGTACATTGCCGTCGCCTCCTCACTGAGCTTGCTCTCGCTCCGCCCCTGTCCCAGCCCACCCTGCACCCCCGTGAAGGGAGCCCGTGTTAACCCACGTCAAGTTCCATCCCTCCTCTGCTCAGCGCCCTTCCCAGGCAACCTTCTCACTCAGCATGAAAGCCAGAGCCCCTCAAATGGCCAGCGAGGCTCCCCCGTCCCCTCTCCGACCTCGCCTTCTGCCCTTCTCCCCCTTGGTCACTCCACTCCAGCCACGCTGGCCTCCTCACTGTTCCTCAGGGCCTTTGCACTTGCTGTTTCCGCTCTCTGAAACTCTCTCCCCTAGGTAACCATAGCGCTTGCTCCTCATCCTTTAAGTGGCAGATCAAATGCCACGTGGTCAGTGAGGGCTTCCCAGACCATTGCATTTAAAATAGCCATCTCCCTGCACCAGCAATTGGCCCCTGGAGCCCATGTCACCACCTGACATGCTACATATTGTTGATGTTGTCTGTTTTTCCCTCTCTAGAACCAAAGTTCCATGAGGCCAAGGGCCTTGCTTTGTTTGCTGCTGCATCTCCATCGCTTGGAATAGTGCCTGGCTGATGACAGGCACTCACTCGATAAAGGCTTACAGAATAAATGAATGGGCATAACCACTGGGCTACACGGCTCAAAGTTTCATAAGTTGTGATTCTGAGTCCCCAGGGTGTGGATGTTGGGAGCATTCTGAGCCCAGGGACAGGGGCTCTGAGGAGGAGGAATGACTCCCCAAGGGTACAGGGTGGTCACAACGGTCAGTGGTCCTAGCAGACTCTGTTCTAGAAGAGCAAAGTCCCTCCAAGTCTCCCTCTCCTTCCCCGAGGAGTGGTCCTGATACCTGCTGCCTCCTGGGCAATGTTGGACTCCTTGATAAAACCCGTTCCCCCAGGTCTGAAGAACCCATGAAGACCACCTAGGAGGCGGAAGGATTCCACCGGGCCAGGATTCTAGAACCTCTGAGTTGTAAGGGCTCTGAGTTCATAGAAAGGGAAACTGAGGCCCAAGAGGGGGAGAGACTCACTCAGCACCTCATGAATCATGCTGGGCAACTCAGGCAGGAAACCCTGCACTAGAACCCCAGGACGGGGCAGAAGCAGGACTGGCAGGCAAGGGTCTAGCCCTGTGCCCCTGCCTCACTGTGTGACCTGGGGCAAGCCACACAACCTCTCTGGGTCTGTTTCCCCATTGAGGAAACCCTGTGCTCACAGGCTGCGCATGTCCGGTAGGGCTCTGGCCCCCACCCTTGCAAAGCCCCCCCACTGTGGAGCCGCCAGGCCTTCCTGTTTACTCGAGGCCCCTCTCGCGGCTGGGAGGCGACAGCCTTGGCCTCCTCTGCTCCCTGCTTCCTTCCTCTCCCACTTCAGCGCCTCCGGCCAGGCCCCCAGGGCCCCGAGGCCAAGACTTAGGGGCGCAGTCCAGGGGGGGCATCTGAGGCCACAATCCCAGAGAGGCCCACCCGGGAGCACTCCTCTCTGAAACTCTGAGGTTACAGAGGCACTGTACCATCTCTCTGGCTGGCTTAGAATGTTCTGGCACATTGGGACAAGCTGTTGCCAGGAGTGTCCCTAGAGATAGGAAGAGAGACAGCATTGACTGTCTCATATCCGACGCCACGCGCAGCTTTCAGCCCACCACTAGGGGATGAGCACATCCTGACTCTAGAGATGTGCCCTCCTCCCGGCCCCTCCCCGGCTCCCACCTCTCTCAGAGCTACTCAAAGTGTGGGCCTCGGACCAGCAGCCAGGGCATCACTGCCCAAGCCAGACCTGCTGAATCAGAATCAGCTTTTGAACAAGATGCGGGGAGATTCGTGTGCGCAGTACAGCTTGGGAGCACTGCAGGTCCTGCCATCCTGCCTGGTTTGAAAACCCTCCATGAGTCTCGCCTCTTAGATATTCTTGCTCCAAAGGCTTAACCTGAATCTATGAAGCCTTTACAAATAACTTCCAGTTTACAAGAAATTCAGGGGATGGAGGAGCAAGTTAAATGACACCACGAGGAAGCAACAGATGAATCTGGAAGGAAGAATTTTTTTTTTTTTTGTGAGGAAGATCAGCCCTGAGCTAACATCCATGCCAATCCTCCTCTTTTTTTTGCTGAGGAAGACTGGCCCTGGGCTAACATCTGTGCCTGTCTTACCCCACTTTATATGGGACACTGCCACAGCACGGCCTGACAAGTGGTGCGTCGGTGCGCGCCTGGATCTGAACCCAGGCCGCCAGCAGCGGAGTGCGCGCACTTAACCGCTACGCCACGGGGCCGGCCCCTAGGAGGAATTTTCTGTAGGACAACTGGTCCCTTCACAGGCCAATGTCATAAAAAGAGTGGGAGTTCTAGGTTAGAGGTTTGCTGGACGGCACAACCAAATGCACGTGCGGTCCTGGATTGCATCTTGGTTTGAACAAAGACACATTTTAGGGACAACTGGGGACAACTGCATGTGGACTGATTATTATCTATTACAAGATCAGTGTTAACAGTGTTATTAAAACTCTGAGTTGTGGTTATGTAGGAAAATGGCCTTATTTTTGAGTCCTACTGAAGTCATACTTTTGGGGTGAAATTTTTTCATATCTATAATTTAAATACCTTGTCAAAAGTATAACAATAATGGAGGATGTATGGGATAATGTTCATTATTCTATGTTGGAGCTGGGTATGTGGGTCTTCATTATATTATTTCCTCCCATTTTCAGTTTGTTTGAAATTTTTCATTAAAAACTAAACTCTTTCTGAGCCTCCTGTTGCCCCTTGGGCAAAGACTCCACACTTGGGTTGGCATTCAAGGCCTGCGAGTCTGGCCCCGACCACCCGCTGGGCTTGTCTCTTGCTACTGCACCCCCTCCAGCCTGCACTCCAGCCCCACTGAGGCCTCAGCCCTCTGGACACCCAACATGTCCCTTCCACCTCTGTGGCTCTGCAGAGCTGTTCCCTCTGCCCTTCCATGCCTTCTGTCTCGTGCTGAAGTGAACTCCTAGGTATCTTCAAGGCCCCACTGCGTAGCTCCAGCTCAGGGAAACTCCCGCCACCGGGGGCCCCTCTGAGCTCTGTGTACTGAGCTGGCCAGAGCTGATCCGGGTTGAGTAGTGCTGATGGAAGTTAGTGAGCATAGGTCCCCTCCTCCTGTCAGGAGCCACATCACAGCGAGCCGGGGACACGTGAACCTCTGTCTTGCCAGCATGGCAAGTACTCCAGAAAATTGCTGAATGAACAAACGTGCACACAGGAAACCCTCAAAGGAAGGTTTGTGGTGGCAAGGATGGGTGGCGGTTACCGGAACTTTTAAACTTTCTGTATTTTTTTTCAAGTTTTTAAGTGTTTTTTTTTCTTTTTTTTTTAAGTGAATAAAGTGATGCTGTGGTGAATAGTTTGGATCAGCTTAGGTTTTCACCAACTGGGACACACCTGAATTCATGAAGCTGTAATTAAAAAAATAAAGATGATGATGATTTTGTCAGGTGGATTTCTCTAGCTCTTTCTCACCTTTGGCCTACTTTCCCACTCATCTTCATGCTCATTCTCAGACACCCTGAGACAGAGGGGTGTGTGCATGTGTGTGTGTGCCTGTATGTTAACCCAGTTTGACAGATGCCACACCCCAAGGTGGGAGGTCACAGAGCAAATTGGGGCTTCCCCGCATGCCCCAGCTGGTGAGGGGAGCAGAGGGACCAGCTGCAGAGGCCTTCACTCCGCACCCCACCCAGGCCAGACACCTCACCCCCGCATGACGCCTGACTTCTCCTCTCTCCCCTGTACCATCGTTTATTTATTTCATGTTCTTCTTCCAATAGACTCACCTTCTATAACTTAAACACATTTATTTTAAAGGAGAGTTTAAATAACTAATGTAAATGGAAAATCAGCCAACTTGCCATAAATGGAAGGGACACACAGCGGCACAACCGGCCCCACACAGGGTTTCGTTCCAGCCAGGTGTGGCCCGCTGAAGTGTCTCTCAGCTTTAAAGGGAGCCCGCTGGGGCTGGGACAGGTGTTAAGGACACATGAGAACCAGGTTGAGCCTTTCTTGGTGATGAGGTCAAAGAGAGAAAGAGAACAGAAAAGGGAAGATGGCTCTCCTCGGGGGATACCGGGACATCCCCAAAGCACCCCAGCCCTGCACGTCCCCAAGGCTGCTCTGGTCCCGGCTCCCACAGGCCGTGGGGACTGACAATCTACACTCCTTGTTCACTGTGTTCTGGTCCTCATCTTGGGAGTGGGGCCACCGAGCCTAATTCAGATTCAGAAATGGGCTCAGAAAGGGCAGGTTGTGACCTGACAGGGCCACCCGGTGGGAGGTCCTTCAGGTCTCACCTCCTCAGGGAGGCACACCTGACCGTGACCCCCCACTCAATCTCAGTGCCCTTTCCAGACCCTCAGAGATTCTTGCACCAAGGAGGCCAGTTCACCGCCCACTTGGCCGGCTGACATGTGCCACCCCCACTGCCCAGGAAGCCCCCACAGCCCATGACCTCGCTGCCTGCTGCAGCCCGGGCCCCAGGGGCAGATAAGCACAGAAAACACACTCAGAGAGATGAGGGGTCAGGGCCAAGGCCACGCAGCAAGGATGCGGAGGAACCCAGGCCAGGGCCCAGCTCTGCCTGACCACAAGTCCCCGAGAGCAGGGACCCTGCCTCAGCCACCCTGGATCCCCAGGCCCAGCACAACCTGTGTGAGGAAGGGCCCTGTGTCTTCCACGGGAGCTCGGGGAGGGCGGCTGGCCAAGGTGGGCTGAGGGGCCCAAGGAGGAATGGGAGGGTGAGGGGCCGGGGCGGCCATGCCTCGTGAATCAACTCCGATGGAAGCAAAGAAAAAGGAGGAAAACCAAATGTCCTTAGAAATTCCTTTAGTGCTGGGCTGTCCATGAAAACAGGATAAAGTGGCTTCCGCTGTCTGTGCTCGAGCCCGGCAGGGTGGAGGCGCTGAGCTCAGGCCAGGCGGCCTCCGGTCGGGACAGGGGTGGGGCAGGGCTGGGAGCCGGGCGAGGGGCTCCAGCATTGCTACTTGAGGGTGTCGAGGTGGGTGCAGACTTGGGCGAAGACGCTGTCCACGGAGCCCTCGGCGTTGACCTGCGGGGAGACGGGCCGTCAGGGCGGAGATGCCCAGGGAGGGCTGGGCGAGGCAGGACTGAGACAGTGGCCCATCATCCAACTAGTGGGGAAACCAAGGCCCAGAGGGGAGGGCTGGCCCAAGGTCACAGCAATTTGAGGCCACGCCAGGAAAACCCCAGGTTTCCTAGGGCTCCCTCGGGCCCACACCTTGCGTATGATGCCACGTTTCTCGTAGAAGGTGATGACGGGTTCTGTGGCCTTGTAGTAGGTCTCCAGCCGCTTCTTGATGGTCTCCTCGTTGTCGTCCACACGCCCACTGGTCTGTCCACGCTTCAGGAGCCGCTGGGTCATGGTCTCAGGGCCTGCGTCCACATACAGCAGCAGCGTGGGCTGTCCGATCTGTGGGCAGGGCACTAGTCACAGGGGCCCCGTTCCTGTCCCCTGGGGCCACCTTCTCCCCATTTTCCCACTTCTGGGGCCCCACTCGAGACCCACTCAGACCTACAAGCCCTTCCCCAAGGCAGCCTGACGGACCTTCTGAAAACCAATCTGCCCTGCCACTCTCCTGCTCAAACCTCTTCCATGGCTCCCCACTGCCCTCAGGAGAAAGTCCAAACTCCTTCCCCGACCTATGCGTCCTGCACGGATGGGCCCTGCCTCCCTGCCTCCTCATCTCGAGCTTCCCACTCCCTTGTTCTCCGTGCTTCAGACACTGACTCTCTGGTCTAGGCTCTCATCAACCTCCTCCCGTGCCAGGCCTCTGCTCCTGCCAGCAACCTTGGCCAGGAACCCTTTCCTTCAATAACGAGTGCTCCTCCTCAGATCTGAGCTAAAATCTCCTTCCTCCAGGGCAGTCTTCCTGGATGCCACCCCCACCACCATCCCCAGCCCCCGGGACAAGCTCCTCCAGTCCTCCTTCCTCTCCTTCTGTCTGGAGCTTGTCTCAGGAGGGCGTCTGGCTACTGACTTCACGTCCCTCTCCCCAGCCAGGCTGGGAAGCCCCGGGGGCAGGCAGGCATCTGTCTGTCTTACACCAGCGGGGCTGGATAAGGACTTGACAAAGGAACAAGGGCTGAGTGAAGGGGTGAGGGGCTGCTGAGCTCTGGGGGTTCTGAACAATGTCACTGTCATTGGAACAAGCATTTCATCCGCTGGGATGACTTGGAAGGGCGAGAGGGAATAAGGCCGACCGTTCTCCTTCAGTGAGGCCCTGGCGCCCCCTGGTGTCCAGATCCAGGAAGACCAGGTGCCCGGACCCAAGCAGGATACAGCAGGGCTGGGCCCTGTGCCAGCCCAGCGCCCACAGTAGCACCCAGAACAGCCCCCGGAAGGATGGAGACTTTCATTAACCCCACTTTCTAGATGCGGCCCTGAGGGTCAGAGGTGGCGTCACACAGCTGGTGCATATGGGCCAGGCCAGGAAGCACCTCAGGGCTGCCTGGCATGTGACCACGGGTCCATGGCCTCCTAGTTGGAAGGAAGCTCAGTCAACTCCCATTTCACAGACAGGGAAACTGAGGCCCAGATCAGGGTAGACACTTTCTTGAGGTCTTTCAGCCACTTAGAGGTCAAGAAATACAGTCTCCGACCTCTGGATGAGGCTCAAAGCTATGGAAACCCAAAGACAGCCCCAGCCTCACAGAGATGGGGAGTGGGGATAGGGGTCTGGTCCTGCCTCCAGCCCACTGGGATGCCCAGTCCTGCCTGCAAGGCCTGGAAGGAGTCCCTCCGCCAAGAAGCCCTCCCTGAGCCCCCCACCCACCCTTGCTGACCTTTGCCTCTTAGGAACCTGTAGTTTCATCTGTCTCCCCCATATGGCCTGTGACACCAGAGGTATGGGTGTACGTGTGTGTATGTGTGTGCATCTGCGTGTGCCCATGAGTGTGCACTTGTGTGTGTCCCTGCGTATAGGTTACTGCATCCATGTACACGCATTGCATGAGTGTGTGTGTATATACATTGCCAGATGCGTGTGCACATGTACATATGCCTGTGGCCTTGTGTCCGTGTATGTGTGCCTCTGGACATGCGTGCACATGGACGTGTGCTTGTGTGCCTGTGTGTGCATGCACGTGGGCCTGTACATGTGTGTGTTTGGGTGAGGTGCTCCCACCCTGCAGAGAGTTTTCCTGGTGGGAACCTCAGGCAGCTCAGAGCCATCGTCCTCAAGGCCCACTCTTTCCAACCAGACTCCCCGCCCCAGCATTCGAGGCCTCCAGACAGACCTGAGCCTCCCTCTCCCACATCACCCCCAGTTATCAGGCCCCACAGATTCTGTTCTCTCCACACTAGCCTGACCCTTCCAGCCCTGTTCATGCTGTTCCCTGCCCCTCTGACCATGTGTTTATGGAGTGCCAAGCCCCACTTTTGAAGAATGCATTCTCTCTAATCCCCATCCTGCCCTTCAAGGCAGCTGCCAACTGTCTTTTCCCATTTTGCAGAAGAGGACACTGAGGTTTAAAGAGGCAGAAAGACTGGCCCAAGACCTCAAGGGGTTGAGCTGGAACCTGAACCCAGGTTGGTGACTCCCCAGCCTGGTGCTTCCTCTTCTACACCTTTTCTTCTAGACTTCAAGAAAGACTTCCAGAAAGTCTTCCCTGGTTTCCCTCCAACCCCACTCCCACCCCCAATCAGTCTCTCTCTGCCCATGACAGCAGCCTCCGCCCAGCCGCCCCACGTCACAGCTCCCGCCAGGTTGCTTCTTACCCTGCGCTCAAACTCCTCCCCCTGCTTCACCTCCCGAGGGTAGCCGTCGATCAGGAAGCCTTTGGAAGTATCCACCTTGGCCAGCATGGCGTCTCGGAGCATGTCCAACACCGTCTCCTAGGGGTGCAGCAAGAGAAGGAGGCCATGAGCCCCCCTTCCCCACCCCTCCTCTGGGCCTTTGCTGCCCCACAGCCTGAAATGCCCTCTGCTCTAAAACGCATGGCCGGAACAAGCCTCCCTCTCCAGGAAGCCTTCTCTGAACTGTGAAGACTTGACAGATTGAGCAAATCAGTCATTCATTCATTCCTTTCTTCGTTCATTCAATAGTATCGACTGAGCCCCTCCTCCCCGCCAGCTCCTCTCGGGGCCCTGAGGACACAGCTGTCAACAAAGCAGCCCTTCCCTGCCCGCAGGAGGCTCACAGTCGGCTGAGGGGACAGACAACCACACAGTTGATCCATCAAGTTCCAAGCATGACACAGGTTGTATGGGCAAAGAAGGGGGGCTACAGGGGTATAAAGGTGGGGGGGGTCTTAGCCCAAATCGGAGGAGTCAGGAAGATCTGAAAGCTGAGGAGGAAAGAACATTCCAGGCAGGAAAGATTGTGATGAGTTTGAGGGGAGAAAGGCCAGGGTGGCGGGAGACTGGAGGGATCAGGAGGACAGGGTCCTGGAGGCTCTTGGGAGCTTCTGGAAGGAATTTTCTGCCCAGGACCGTGGGGACCCACAAGAGGGTTCAGAGCCAGGGAAGGTCAGGGTCAGCCTTGCCAGTGTGTCATGGGCTCCGCTGACATCCACTCAAGGCCACCGTCACCTCCCACCCCACCGGGGCCCACTCACCAGTGGCACCAGCTGCCCCTTCTCCATGATTTCCGACAGCTTCTTGCCCCTGGCTGAGCCCGAGCTGACCTCAGCCCGCAGGAGGTCCCCGGTGGAGAGGTGGGTGTAGCCGTACTTCTGGACAATCTTCTCACACTGGGTGCCCTTCCCCGAGCCAGGCCCGCCTGCAAGCGCCCACCCATTCAGAAGCCCTGAGGAACGGGGCCCCCGCAGGGACAGGGTCTGCCCAGGTCACCCAGCGAAGGAGGGGCAGAGCCCAGGATGCAGCCCCCGGTGCCTGCGAAGACCCTCCCTGCTCGCT